ATATTTCAAATTCAAAAGGCCCAGATTGATGTTTGTTTCAAGTATAATACGCTACCAATTCCTTTTGAGCAATTTTCTTTATACGACAATGTAAGTTTGAGTTTTTTTATTTTATTTTAAAAAATAAAAAATTTATAAAATGCTATATCATTTTACTTTAGGCTGATGTTGTTAATGACATTGCTTGTATTGAAAATTATTTGGACAAAAGACAAGTTGCTCTTAAATCTCTAATTAGGCATGTTGATCCTAACAATGTAATTAAACTTTGGGAAGTTAGGCATATGAATGTTAATACAGTTTCAATGAACTGTATTGTATTGCTTAAGGACCATTCGCATGTTTATACATGCTTGTTTTTATTTAGTGAAGGACTTGTCTATCGTCACTTTTTCAGATCATATTAAAAACACCAAAGACGAAATTTTCTATTGCTTTAATAAAGAATCGATAGTACAAAAAGGGCACTAATTTATATAAAGTTAATACTTTATTTGATTCTTGTGGTATATCAGACTCTTCTAAGGAATTGTTTACGACTAATGAAGTACAAGCTTCATATTCAACTATGGATACAATATGAAATCTTAGAATGGATAATTTTAATAATAATTGTGATGAAATTGAGTATAAAATTTTAAAGCACCAAGTTTATGGTAAATGTGCAGCATTGGGACAGAAATTAGCAGCATTGGTTTAATTTGACTCATATTGCTACTACTTTGAGGGGTTTAATTCAACAAGTAGAGCAAGCTAATAGTAATTTATCAAATGGCCTAGATTCTGATACAATTCAAAATCTATTTCCAGCTAATTCATGTGAAAGACATACTAAAAGAATTAAATCATCTACAGAAATTCATGCTATTTCAAGCAAAACCGTAAATACTAAGACTCGTTCTAGAGATACATATACTTGTCAAAATTGTCTTAACGATGGCCATAATGCAAGAAGTTGTATAGTGCCATATAAAACTTGTAATAAAAGTGGTCATATTTATTTAAAATGTCTAAATAAAGAAAATATTTAATTTCTAGTACTTATTATTTGCTAATGTTAATGTTGTTTAATAATTGCTACAATGACAAATTTTATTTATTAATACTTTGCATCTGCTAATACTATACTTTATATATTTACATTGTTGTATTTGTAATATATTAATATCGCAAAAAAAAATCTTAAACTTTTACAGTATTAAAATTCTCTTTCATTGCATATATAACTTCAAGAATTAAGCTAGTATTACAAATTGAATCAAAAAATATAATTGATTAGTTAATTAATCGATTATTAATCAATTAATTAACTAATCGATTAGTTGGTACTGCTGTAATGCAGTAATGTATATTGAAATAGCTTAAAAAAATCACATAGCTACTAATTACAAGTTTAAAGCAGATATCGATCGTATAAAACAACCAGTTAATTTGTTAACTAAATTGATTAAATAACCATTTGATTAATCGATTAATTGATTAATCATTAGCAATTGACTAGTTGTTTAATAAATTATTAATTGATTAGTTACTAACTCGATTAACTAATCAATTAATTGGTTTTTGATTTGAAACAGTATAGGTGATCCTTTGTTTAATATTGGGTATGATGATTTATATGTGATAAATAATATATGACATATATAAATTAGTTTGCTTCTTATTGTTGACTATAATTTATCATACCCCATAATTCATCACATAAGATGTGACAAATTATTATGTGACAAATAATAGATGACTAGTCTGAATTAGTTAGCTTTATTATTCGGTCATTATTCATCACACCCAAAATAGTCACACCCAGACAGGATGGTATTTAGTAATATTATCTTGGATGATATTTAGAATTGTTCTTTTTCTTTATAATATCAGGTGATATCACCTAGGGTAAAAATTAGTTATAATCTAAATATTGAATATAGTTTTTCTAATTATAAAAATATTTTTAAAAATAATTATTATACACTTTTAAAAAAATTTTTAGAAAAACTTAATATGTTATATTTTAATAAAAAAATATAAAATAAATATAATTAATACAATATACTGTATAATTATTTTAAAATTTTATATTATAAAAATTAAAAAATTAATCTTTTATAATTTAAAATTAAAAAAATGTATATATTACACTATACAACATAATTATATATTGTATTTTATAAAAACAAGTATAACATGAGATCAAAACAATAAAAAAATAAAATAGTTTATTTTGTTTTAATTAGAATTAAGGCAAGTTCAGTTTTGAGTTAGAATAAAGCATAATTTATATCAAAATTCTTCAAGAAATTTTTTTGTTAGAACATGAAGAGCTGTTTTTTATACAAAATTTTGAAGTATTGGCAATTTTCAAAAAATTACAGTTTTTTATATTTTTATATTGCACCTAATCCTAAAATTTAATTGGTTGGGTGATAAATAAGAGTATCGCACTGATAAAATATATAGATAAATCCTTTAAAATTTGTTAATTTAAAAAAAATTTAAAAAAATTATTAGTATAAAAAGTATAATTTCATATTATTAGTAGCATAATTCTAAACATAGTTTAGTAAATCTGTACTACAAACCTGGCACACATTCAAGGGTACTGTATAAGCAGAAGTACTCTAGCTATGCAGAAAATGAAATATTAGATCATGTGATTTTTAACGTTTCGAATGATTATTTACTAATCAAAATTCAGGATCTTGTATAATAAGAAATTTTATAAAAACAATAAAATTTTTTAAAAATTGCAAATAACTCAAAATTTTGCTTATAAAACTATCTATTGCATTTTAATTAAAAAAATTCCTTGCAAAATTTGGCTTTAGAGTGAGCCTTTTCTAACCCTAAATAGATATTCGTTTCTGTTATCTTCGATTGTTTTGATTTTTAAATATTAGATTGAATGCAAGATCACTATCAAAATTTCACTATTACGTGATAATTTACATAACTTATTCAATAGCAAGTCTTGCTCTGATATAATATTATACAATCAGGAAAATCAAAACAAAATGTTCATTTTTTCAAAATCATTTATTACTCAAAAATTTGCATAGTAAACCACCTTTTGTGCTCTAACAAAAAAATTTCCTTGTGCAATTTTATTATATATTTTGCTATTGTTTAATTTTATCATAAATACTAACCCTAACTTAAACGAACTTAAAGATTTTTTTGTGAACAATTTTACTGTCACATAACAGTGAAATTTTGTCAGTGATCCTGAGTCAAATGGTCTACAGACATGTACCAAATCACATAATTTTGCATATATTAATGATCGTATGATATATAACATAAATCAAGCTATTGAAATAGAATTTTTCTTGATTTTGGTCTAATTTTCTCAACAACTATCTAATAGAATTAGATAAAAATTTTTTTAAATAGATTCTGCGAATTAGTAGAATTTTATTTAAAAAATTTTTTATATTCAATTAAATAGTTGTTGAGAAATTTTATTCAAAGTTTGGGAAATTTTTTAACAGCTCAAAAAAATAGTTGTGGCAGAAATTTTTTTCAAACTTTAAAAAAAAATTTCTCAACAACTATTCAATAGAATTCGATGAAACTTTTTTTAAATCAATCCTACAAATTAGTAGAATTCATTTTAAAAAAAAAATTTAACAAATTCTATTGGATAGTTGTTGAGAAATTTTCATTCAAAGTTTGGAAAAGTTTTCAACACCCCTTAATAGCCATAGCAAAAATTTTTCTAAACTTTGAATGAAAAGTTCTTGATAACTACTTGGTAGAATTCAATAAAATTTTTTTAATGAATTCTACTAATTCATAAAATTTATTTTAAAAAATTTTTATTGAATTCTATTGAACAGTTGTTAAGAAATTTTCATTTAAAGTTTGGAAAAATTTTTGCCATGACTATTTTCTTGAGATGTTAAAAAATTTTCCAAACTTTAACCGAAAATTTCTTGACAATTATCTAATTGAATATGATAAAAATTTTTTAAATAAATTCTACTATTTCGCAGAATTTATTTTAAAAAAAATTCATCTAATTCTATTAGATAGTTGTTGAAAAAATTAGACCAAAATTAAGAAAAATTCTACTTTGATTGCTTGATGTACGTTATATATCACATAATTGTTAGTACGTCCAAAATCACATGATTTGGTATATGCCCATAGACTGTTTGATCTTGGGTAAGATATCAAATACCTCAGAAGTCATATAATCTAACACTTCATTTTTCACATAGCTAAAGTACTATATAAACAGCTGATTATGTTAATTATACTATACTTTACTGCTTATCATTATATCTAACTGCTAGTACTAAGATATAACTATATATTATATTACTGGTTATTTATTTTAAAATAAACAAATTTGTATTATGATTACAAAAAATACAAACTATATATCAGAGGTACATCTGTCAGTCAAGAAGTCTCAGATACTTTATCCATTTCCTTAGAACTAATTTATCCTTGAGGGATCAACACTAGAGCAGTCCAAACCCATAATCCGGATTTATCTAGATTCAATAACTTATGCCGAGTCCGAAGACAAGTACTTGCGAGCCAAAGCCGCTACAGTTATCTACTACCCTCTTGTAGAGTTCATCCAAACCCCAGTATCCACTTTACAGACTATCAACCGTATCCCTAACTATCCCAAACTACTAATCCAGATGGCCCGGAAGGGATTTTTTTTTCCTCTGATATCTGCAACTAAGCAAATCCTTTTCCTCCAGTTCCGACGGACTTAGTCCTGGCAGCCTGGTTGGTGGGGTGCCTTGCCATACACCGGTCCTCGTTCAGTTTTTGCTAGTTCTCTGGTAGCAATCTTTTACGTAGCACTGTCAAAGATTTGTGCTACCTCTCTACTCGGGTCTTGCCAAGCGGGCATCCATCTTTCCGGTTCCCTGAATTAACATGATCTGGAATATTTCGTG